TGAAAGTAGAATGAATGAGTGAATGTAGAATGAATGAGTGAATGTAGAGTGAAAGTAGAATGAATGAGTGAATGTAGAATGAATGAGTGAATGTAGAGTGAATGAGTGAATGTAGAGTGAATGTAGAATGAATGAGTGAATGCAGAGTGAATGTAGAATGAATGAGTGAATGTAGAGTGAATGTAGAGTGAATGCAGAGTGAATGTAGAGTGAATGAATGAATGCAGATTGAAAGTATAATGAATGAGTTAATGTAGAATGAATGATTGAATGTAGAGTGAAAGTAGAATGAATGAGTGAATGTAGAATGAATGAGTGAATGTAGAGTGAATGCAGAGTGAATGTAGAATGAATGAGTGAATGTAGAATAAATGAATGAATGCAGAGTGAATGCAGAGTGAATGCAGAGTGAATGTAGAATGAATGAATGAATGCAGAGTGAATGTAGAATGAATGCAGAGTGAATGTAGAGTGAATGAATGAATGCAGAGTGAATGTAGAGTGAATGTAGAGTGAATGTAGAGTGAATGCAGAGTGAATGCAGAGTGAATGCAGAGTGAATGCAGAGTGAATGTAGAGTGAATGCAGAGTGAATGTAGAGTGAATGAATGAATGCAGAGTGAATGTAGAATGAATGAGTGAATGTAGAGTGAAAGTAGAATGAATGAGTGAATGTAGAATGAATGAGTGAATGTAGAGTGAATGAGTGAATGTAGAGTGAATGTAGAATGAATGAGTGAATGCAGAGTGAATATAGAATGAATGAGTGAATGTAGAATAAATGAATGAATGCAGAGTGAATGCAGAGTGAATGTAGAGTGAATGCAGAGTGAATGTAGAGTGAATGAATGAATGCAGAGTGAATGTAGAGTGAATGAATGAATGCAGAGTGAAAGTAGAATGAATGAGTGAATGTAGAATGAATGAGTGAATGTAGAGTGAATGAGTGAATGTAGAATGAATGAGTGAATGTAGAGTGAATGCAGAGTGAATGTAGAATGAATGAGTGAATGTAGAATAAATGAATGAATGCAGAGTGAATGTAGAATGAATGAGTGAATGTAGAATAAATGAATGAATGCAGATTGAATG